AGTATTTAGTCTCAGCAGCATAAAAAGCACGAAGACACTGGGCAAGGCTCCAGAAGGGGCAGTGTTTCCGGCAGTTTGTGGAGGACTAAGGCAGGAGGACTGCAGGAGGGGGAGTGGTGGGAACAGACGGAAGGGTGTGTGGGAGCCACGGTGTGTTTAGACAGTGAGCAAGGGATGAGTAGGTTGGAGGGAGTGACAGAGCAGTGTGCGGCACGGCCAGGAGGCGCCCGTGGGGCAGACAGCTGTGGTGCCAGAGTTCCACCACCATCACCTCATCCCCCGCTGGCCCCACCCACTCGCCCACAGGCACCCCATTGTTCCAAAGGCACCTTCTCAAGCAAGCCTCAGCATCTTCGCTGGGTTCCATCCGCTAAGCCTGCCTTCTCTTCAGCAAATCTCTCTTCTGTTCCCTTCAAACCTTGATGCAGTAAGTTGCTCCGCCCATCCATCATGTGGTTTCAGTTGACTGTCCCTGCAGAGCTCAATTAAATTGCTCTCCATAGTGAAGGCTCTGCTAACCTGAGATGACTAAGCGTGTGTGTCTGGATAGGAGGGGACCATAAATGGTCTCCCAACACGTTTCCCATTACGCTCTTTTTCCTTCTGCTTTTTAACTAGCACTGCTTTTTTGAATGCTGAGCTGTTTATGGTTTAATGAACAGAAGAAAACAGAAGCTCAGATTAAGAGGGGGCTATTGGAGGAACTCTGTTATCCATAGATCCCCTAGGCAGCCGGGCCTCTCAAATGACTTGAAGTGGGGGTGTGGAACTCAGGTAACGCTCCACCTCTCTCCCTCTCTCCCTGCCCCTACCCTCCTGTGAATCCTTGCCTCTGACTCTGTCTTCTTCTTTTTCTTTCTTCCTCTGTCATTCCTCCCCTTGCCCCATCTGCTGTTTCTCCCTCTGTTGCCCACCTGCCCCTCTCTCCCTGTTCTTTCAACAGGGCCTTTGCTTTGCCTATTCATAGTAAAGCTGCCCTACTCTCTAGATTATTTGGCTGTATTTCAGAGGCCGGCTCAGATGACTGGCTAATTCCCGAGAGCTCTCGGATTTCAAAATGCAAAGGGGATCTGATTGGCCCAGCTTGAACCATATCTCGTCCCTGGCCAGTGACCTGTGTGTAGGAAGAGTCAGGCACAGAATGCCTAGAGCAAGTGTGCAGGGCCCTAGCAGAGGAGCACAGTGCCCGCCCAGAAGTTTTCGCTGACTTGACTATCCAAGCTAAATTATGTCCATTTCCTAGAACACAGGATTTAAATCAATATTAATGGGTGAATTAATATCCTTACACTAGATTTGGTTGGTCAAGAAGGCTTCCTCATGGAAATGCAGTACCGTACTTCATGTAGAATGATTCTTGCTTGGGAAAGCTCATCAGACTTTTGAAAGTCAGGCATTTAGCATTGCAGATTTGTAGCGCTCAGGTTCCTAGCATGGCAGCCTCCTGACATCAAAAGGGGACAGATGCCAAGTCATGCCACCTGTGGCCCACAGGGACTCGAAAGGCACCCTCAAGCTGACAGGCAGGTGCCTGCCTGGCCTTGCGTCTCTGTTGTGTCTCGCTGCAGTCTTCCCTCCTGCCTCAGCTGGCCAGCTTTGAGATGAGAGCGTGCAATGTGCAGGGCTTCCTTCAGACCTGCCTCGCTGTGCTTCCCAGTGGAGCCACAGGGACCCCTGAGTTCCAGGCTGCGGTCTGCCTAAGCGCTGTTCACGTTAGCACCAGTGCTGCTGGGCCCTCTGCGTCCTGCTCAAAGCCATCCCCACTAAACTGGGACCCTAATTTATTCTTTAGGAAAGGAGATTTGCCACTTTGCAGCCCCTATCAGATGTCTGCTTTCCTGGTCCTGTTCTTCATTAGTCCATGATTGCAGGACATGATGTTTCCAGTTCCTTGTGTGGAGGTTGCTCGTGTGCATAACACGTCTTGATTTTCTTTCCATCTCCTTCCTCTCCCCTCCCTCCATCACTTCACCCCTCCTGACTGAGAAAGATCTCTCTCGGACTTCCCATTATCTAGCTTTTTTTGGCTCTTTATTTATACTTTGGATTTCTCATGTAAGATACATCATGTGATATTTAAGCTTGTGTTGATTTATTCCAATTACCATGATGGTCTCAAGGTGCATCCATTTTCTTACCCATGAGCTGTCTGCTTTGCTAAGGAGAGATTCTCAGACATTCAGGGAAAGGCTCAGTTCCTAGGGGATGTGGGTACCTTTTCCACCTCAAAGCAGGGGCTCTGGGACATCCTCCAGCTGCTGACTATGGAGCTGCTGCTTCCTCCAGGAAGAGCCTGCTGGTGCGGGAACCTCCGACTGAGGACTTCACCCAGTGTTTTGTTTTGTTTTGAGACAGGGTCTTGTTGTGCAGTGCAGGCTGGCCTCGATCTCACTATGTGACCCAGGCTGGCCTCAAATGTGCAGAGATCCTCCTGTCTCAGCCTCCCCAGTGCTGGGATTACAGGTGTGTGCCATCATGCCTGACTCTGTCAGTTATTTTTTAAAGAATATTGTGCAAACCTTTTAAGAAATTTGACATTTTTACATACATAAAGACCCAAATTTCCTTGTGGCAGTGTGGCTTACATTCTTATTTGGCAGCAATTAACTGAAAGTGAGTAACTGCTGTCACTTGACTTTTGCTCTTTCTGCATCAGTACCTAGCAAGCTGCTTAACAGTATTTGGCAGCTGCACACTATTCTTGAAAACCACTGGACTAAGTTTTGTTTTTTAACCTTTTCAGAGCTGGTGCACTAAGGCCCAAGTGTCTGGAAACTCAAGTTCTAGGCCAGGCTTTGCCGTGAACTGCTCTTCTGATCTTGTAAACAGCACTTTCGCCCTTTGGGTCCTAATTTCCCCCTCCTGTAACCTGATGTGATGTTCTGGTCTGATCAAGTCATAGTGTGGCGTATCTCTGCGGGGAATGACTAGAGAATTGGTCCATAAAATTAAGTATTAGGCAGTTAGTTAAAATGATAATTTATAACAATGTTTGCTAATGAGGAAGGATGTTTTAAATTATTTAAAAACTTTTAATTTTGAGATAATTGTAGATTTAAGTGTAGCTTTGAGGAGTGATATTGAGAGGCCCAGCGTGGCCTCTCCCAGTTGTACTCAGGGTGAGACCCTGGATGTCATAGTGCAACATCACAACCAGCAACCGGACGCAGACACAATCACCAGCCTTACTGGTGCCACCATTTTACAAGAACCCATTTGTGCACGTGTACTGGGCGCTAAGCGATCGCGGCACGTGTGTGCATCCGCGTGACCATGTCCACAGTCAAGACACGAGGCAGTTCCATCACAAAGTGTTTCTAATAGTTTGGGTAAAAAACATCAAATGATAATGTAGGACAATATGCATTTTTACAAATACTATGGATACATAAACACCAAGAAATTAACTGTGGTCGACTCTGAATGATGGAATGATAGCTCATTACATTTTTTTGAAACCTTTTTTTTTTGGTACAGGGGATCGAACTCAGGTCCTTGCGCTTGCGCAGCAGGCGGCAAAACCACTGAGCTAAATCCCCGGCCCTTGTCCCATAACCTCTTTACTTTCCCCACCCCTGAAAGGGGTTAAGGTCACGCCCCATCCTCGGCAGCGGAGTAGCGTCAGGCCCTCTTTATTTAACCCTCAGGAGAGTAGGTGGTAAGTTAAATAGCGCCCCCCACTCGAGTGGCTAATTGTACGGGTTACCTGGCACAGTGCTTGGAAATTGCAGTGATTATTACTGAAGCTGCTTGGTAAACAACACTCTCCAATACTGCCTGAGAAATGAAATAGCAGCTCTCTATGAAGGGCCAGCTCAGTCTTTTGATTTGGGTCAGATTCAAAGGATTTACTGAAGAAGGGACATCTGGGCCATGCCCTGAAGAGTAGTTAGGGTTTTCCTATGAAAATAAGGGGGCTGGGGGCTGGGTGTTGGCGAAGGAACAGGATGGGCAGAGGCAAAGACAGAGCCTCAGAGTGCAGAGCGTGTCTGAGATGGGCCTGTGGCCCCAGGTTGCTGGAGCAGAGAACCCCAGGGAAGAGCAGCAGGCAGCAGCTGGGACAGTGTAGGCTTCCCCTAGGGGGACTTGGGGAAAATCTGACATTTGTCTTGTGGGGCACATCTGGCTAACTTCTTTTATTTATGATACCCAGAGTTCTTTTCTTTTAAATTTTGAATTAGTTATCAGTATTTAGAAGTCTGATGTTTTCATTCCAATATACCAATTTTTAGCTCTCCTTGAAAAGTGGGGCTATATGGCTATACTGACTCTCCCTTCAACATCATCTGGAGCTGGACAGTGACTGCCCTGTGAAACAGCACCTGGCACAGTCCCCACCTATCCTGTCACTGCGCCCAGGATACTTCTCCAGTCCACATCACCCATCCGCTTCCTAGAGGCACATAGATGGGCAGTGACACGATGGACATGGACTAATGAAGACTCAGTGTAGAACTGTGAGGTACCTAATGCCTGCCCTTCTGCCAGAGGCAAAGCATTTTATTAATCACTACTATTTTCTTTAAGGAGTTGCTATTCCAGTGGCCTACTGGCTAAAATGGTAGCTACTTACTACATGTGGTTATTTAAAGTGAAACTAAATGAAATTAAAATTTATGTTGCAGTAGCCACCTTCCAAGTGCTCAGTGGGTCACTGTACCAGGCAGTGCAGATAAAGACATTTTCCTCATTGCAGAAGTTCTAGTGGACAGGGCTGCTCTGTGTGAGAGGCCAGGGCGGGGCACAGGAAGCAGTGAGAGAAATACAAACCAAGAGGCCCACCCACTTGGCTCAGAGGGTGCCAGAGGGGTTAGGAGAGAGGACACGCCACGGCTGCCACGGTAAAGACAGTAAAGATGGGAGACAGGCTGGGGAGGACTGGACTGCAGGATAGAGGGGTGGCAAGGTTTGAATGAGGATGGAACGGAGATTCTATCTGCTAGAAACACTTGGGCTGCAAATTATAGAACAACTACCTAATGTAGCTTAAACACGTGAAAGTTTACTTTGTCATGTAACAAGAAAGCTGGCATTAGCTCAGGGACTTGGGGATGTTAGGCCCCCAGGCCTCTGATGCTCTCGTGATTGCTGGAAGTTGGATATTTGAGATGTACTCAGCCAGGCAGATAAAAGAGATGAGTGGATGTGTCTTCCATTCTCAGCCAGAACTGTCACATATATCACGTGCAAAGAGGCATAAAGGCTTCTGCAGTCCCCAGTGCAAGAAGTCGAGGACAAAGGGGAATGCAATCACCAATGTAGCAGAGTCACAGTTTGTCATATCTGGGAACTGGGTTATATGAAGAGAAAAACAGTGATAGGGTGAAACCTCACCTTCAGAAATCGTATCTAAGTGCCTTCTAAATGTCATTCCTTTGTGATATTTAAGGCCTCTTCTTTTCTGAACTGGAAATTGAACCCAGGGGTGCTTTTCCACTGAGCTACATCCCCAGTCCTTTTGTTTTTATTTTGAGGCGGGGTCTTGCTGCTGTTACCCAGGTGAGACTTGAGCTTCCGATCGCCTGGATCTGCCTCAGTACTGCGAGTACAGGCGTGTGCCACCATGCCTGGATTAAGGTTCTTTTGAGGACTCTTAATAAGACCTCTAAGGCCATCCTCTCATCCTAAAGCAGCTCAGAATTCCAACACAGCTCTCAATGGGCTACCAGAAACATTGGCCAGGCTGTGTTCCTTTCGGGAAGCTCTCGGGGAGAACCCATTTTCTCACCCTTCCAACATCTATAGGGTATGCACAGCCCTTCCCTGCATCTTTACAGCCAATACATGGCGTCACCACGCCTTTGCTCTGCAGTTACATCTTCTCACTCTCTCTCTGCTCCCAAATGAGCCTTGTGATTCTCTTGGGTCCACTCAGATCATCCAAAATAGCCTACCCACTTTAAACTTACCTGACTAGAAGTCTTATTTTCTCTTTGCTGTGTAGCCTAACATTTTCACAGGTGCTTGAAATGACAGCATGAACACCTCTGTCTTGTGTGGGTACATTATCTTGTCAAGTTCCTGATTGCTAGAGACCAATCCAGACATTCCACCTTAGGAATTATCTGAGAAAATAGTGAATTAATGTGCATGCATTGAAATGTATTGTGTAGATATTTATAATAACAAAAACGTTTTAAATGTCCATGAAAAAAACTGGTGGTCAAGCAAATTATGGCTCATTCACATGATGGAAAATTTTGTAGCCAGATCTGTGTTGATATGAATGGTGCCAAGAAGAGATCACGTGAGAATCATAGAATATTTATGTGCTATTATCCTCTCAATAGTAAATTCATGTGCACATAGTGTAGTACGTACATACTTACATCAAACAATTACTAGTAGTTATTTCCAAAAATGGGAAGTTTGAGATGTGAGAGATTTTCACTAGATATTGGCATTCTTTAGAATGATTGTATATTATCACCAGTAGGCACTTCTACACAGATGCCTTTCTTTCTAGTTGGTATCTAAACAATTCGGTCCAAAAGTAAAACAGAGCACACACACAGGAGGCATTGTGTGTGTCTGCTTTCAGAAATCACATAGACATCTTTGGTTTTTGCCTCTTCAATTATCTGACTCTTCTTGTTTTTTTTTTAATCTTCCAAATGCTATTCCTATGTATTAGCCCAATATATCTAAGTTCATTCTGAGATTTGGAATTCATTTCTCATCTCTCACCTTCAAGACAATTTATAAGTCTGAAACCAGACAACTTGACATTTTGAACTCTAGGTGTCTACAGGCAGATAATGTTCACAATCTCAACAACTGGAACTAAGCAAGGACCTACTATGTGTTAGTTGTGAGGCACAGCAGGCACCATACTGGGAGGTGACTCCTTGAAAGAGATGTGAAATGAGGAAATTGCTAAATGTTGAGGAGGGCAGATTGGAGAGCAGCATCCTCTGGGAGAGGTGGCTGCCTGCTGAGCTCTGTCCTGTCTGTGCTTAGCTCATGGGAACTGGTCTTGTACTGTTTTCTTAAACCCCTTTGCTGCATGAGTTACTTTGAATATATTTCCCTTTGGGACAGTATGACACCCATAATTCAGATGGTCAGCACTTCCATTTGTCAGTACTAGTGCTCTCTGTAGCATTTCTAGGCATTCTAAGGGAAGATGATAGCATTAGAAAATCTCAGCAAAGGTCAGGGTGTAGCTAAGCCACACTGAGGAATTTAAGAGCACTCAGTGTGGCCTCAGAGCTTACCTCCAGATCCCACAGCAGTGACCTGATACCTAGACCATGCCACATTTGGGAATTTAAATAGAACTCAACCCAGCCTCAGTGTTCACCTCAAGGACCCACAGAAGCAGGAAGCCAACCTCATTTATTCATTTCCACTGAGCAAAGCACCAAGTTAGTCTTATTCATTCAACCAGTGACTCAACTTACCCCCAGAGATCCTCCCATAATCCTGTCCAACAGCAGTACTCAAATAGCAATACCACCTGGCCAGAGAAAATTCCCCAGGATCTGAGGTGATTGCAATGTCCTTCCTCACAACTTGGCCCAATTGCTGAGCTCCGCCAGTGGTCTTGTTGGGCAGCAGGGCCCGGCCAGCTGCCCCACCCAAACTCAGACCAAAGGCAGCACCCCAGCCATGCAGAGAATGCAAAAGGTAGCCCTGCCCCTGGCTCATCCAGACTCATGGTATACTGTGGTACACTAAATGGTGAATGTCTATCCCTACTTCAGAAAGAAAACAAACAAACCATTGTGAAAGCTGGAAAATGTGGCTGTGCCCCCAAATGCACACTCATGCAAGAACACAAGGATAACAAAGACTGAGAAAATCATGGGGCCTCTAAAAGAAATTAATAAAGATTCAAAGGCAAAGGGTATCTATGAAAAGACAAACACAAATTCATAATACTCTCCCTAAAAATGTTTCATGAATTACAAGATTATACAGATAGAAAATTAAAATTTGAAAAACAACACATAAATAAATGAAATTGAAAAAGAAATAGGAACAATAAAAAAAGAAATTCTAGAGATGAAGAATATAATGACTAAAGTGAAAACTGCAATAGAAAGACTTCAAGTGTCTGCCCAATCAAGCTAAAGAATCAGTCCATTAAAAGGAAGACTTTAAAATTATACAACCAGATGAACAAAAGGAAAACAGATAAAAAGAATGAAAAAATCCAATGAAAATTATGGGGTATCAAGAGACTTATATATGCATAATAGGAATTCAAGCAGAAGAAAGTGAAAAAGGGCCAGAAAACATACTTAAAGAAATAATGGTTAACAATTTCCCTAATCTGGAGAAAGACATCAACATCTAGATAGAGAAGGCATAGAGGTCTCCAAACAGAGCCAACCCAAAACAGAGCTCACCATGAACATACATAATAATCAAACTATCAAAGAAAAAATTTCTAGTGACAGCAGGAGAAAAGAAATACATCATATTCAATGGGGTTCCCACAGGACCATCAGCAGATTCCTCAGCAGAAACTCTGTAAGCCAGGACAGACTGGAATGATATATTCAAAGTTCTGAAGAGGAAAAACCTACAAACTAAGAATACTTTACCCTGCAAAGTGAGGGAAAATAAAAACTTTATCCCCCCCAAAAAACCTCATAAAAGTTAAGAAAGCTTATCACCAGTAGACCTGCTTTACAGTAAGTGCTAAAGGAAGATCTCATGATTTGAAAACAAAAGCCACTAGTTATAATAACATAAAAGTTATGAAAGTATAAAACTCAGTGCTACAAGTAATATAGAGCCATATTTGGAAAACTCTGAGATAGTAATGATAGTGCATAAAGTAATTTTATCTTTAATATGAATTAAAAGAGCTATTAATAACCACTATAGCTAAAGTAAAATTTCAAGGGATATATATTCATTACAAAATGATGTAAATTCTAATACCAAAAGTATAACATGCTGGGGAGTTATGATAAAATTTCAGAGTTGCATGCCAGTTTAAAATACTGTTATAAGCATATGATACTCTGTTTAAACCTCTCAATAACTGTAAAGCAAAAATCTAAAGGAGATGCACAAAACAAAAATAGAAAATGTTCAAAACATAACACTAAAGAAAATTCATCAAACCACAAAGGAAAATAGCAAAAGTGGAAGATAGAAACAAAAGATCTACAAGACAACCAGAAAATGATTAACAAATGACAATATTAAGTCCATATCTATCAATAACTACCTTGAATGTAAGTCGATTAAATTCTCCAATACAGACACAAAGTGACTGGAAGAAAAGCCCAACTATGTGTTGTCCTCAGGAGACTTACTTCGCTTTTAAATTCTTGCTTAGACAGAAATTGAAGGAATGGAAAAAGAAACCAGCAGGAGACGCCTAGTTATACTTGATGCAGACAGAATAGATTTTATTATTATGGTTTATGTGTATATGCACCCTCAAAAGCCTGGTGTGCTCATAGGTGCAGCTTTTGAAAGGTGATTGGATATGTGGAGGTATAGCTGACTTGCTATTAGGAGGTGGGATCTGGTCAGAAGAAGTGGACCACTAGAGGTGTCTCTTGAAAGAGTGTCACCCTCCTGCTTCCTCTCTCTCTCTCTCTCTCTCTCTCTGTCTCTCTCTCTTTCTCTCCCCAACCCCCTCTGCTTTCTGGCTGCCACAGTTGAGCAACTACCTCTCTGCCATGCCTCTGCAATGCTGTTTCTTCTTTGGAGCCAGGTGACCATGGACTGAAGCCTGAGCTGATTCATTAAGCACCTAAGTATATAAAAAGATTTGATGAGACAGATAGATTGTAATACAATATTAGTTGAGACTTCAATATTCCATTTTCAATAATGGGCATCTAGATCATCCAGACAGAAAATTTATAAGAAAACTTTGGACTTGAACACTTTATACCAAGTGGATCTAACAGAAATATATAAAACATTCTATCTAATAGCAATAGAATATGCATTCTTTTCAAGTGCACATAAAACCTTCTTCAGGATAGATCACACATTAAGCCACAAAACAAGTCTTAGCAAATTTACGAAGAATAAAATCATACCACGTACCTTTTCTGAGCACAGTGGTTTAAAACTAGAAGTAATAACTGTAGGAATGTCAGAAAATGCACAAATACAGGGGACCATCAAGTTACAACCAGCCTGGCATACAAACAATTTGGGTTAACTGGGTTAATGGAAGATTCATCTGCCTCTTGTTATCCATAGTATGTACCCAGGTAAACATCCAGATCTCAGCTGTATTGACTTAGTTACAACCAGCCCTCGGGAACCAATCGAGTTCATAAGTCAAGGGTCCTCTGTACATGGAAATTAAATAGCATGGTCCTGAACAATCAGTGAGTCAGTGAAGAAATTCAATGAAACAGGCTGTAGTGGTACACACCTGTAATACCTACACTTGGGAGACTGAGGCAGGAGGATCAAAGTTTGAGTCCTGAATGGGCAACTTAGTGATTTAGTGAGAAAGGCCTGAGGATGTAGCTCAGTGTGTAGGCCTGGGTTCAATCCCCAGTACCACACTGAAAGAATGAATGTTTAAAACTTCAATGAGAAATTAAAAATTATCTTGAAAAAATTAAAAATGGAAACACAACACACCAAATCTTATTGGACAGAACAAAAGCAAGTCTAAGAGAAAAGCTTATAGCAATAAATGCCTAGATCAAAGGATAAGAAAGATTTCAAATAATTTGATGTTATGCTCAAGGGACGAGAAGATGAGCAAACTGTCTCCAATGTCAGAAAAAAAACAAAAAAGAAACAGTAAAGATCAGGGCAGAAAGAAGTGAAAGACAAAGAAAACGAAAGACGAGTGAAACTAAGAGTTGTTTTTTGAAAGATAAACAAAATTGACAAAGTTTTAGCTAGAAAAGTCTCAAATCAGGAACAAAAGACGAGGCATTATAATTGATTTCACAGAAATATAAAGGATTCATAAGAGACTACTATGGACATTGACCACCAACAAATTAGATATACACAACCTATCGAGATTGACTCATAATAAAATAGAAAACCTGAAGAAATTGATAATGAGTAAGGTCATTGATTCAGTAATAAAAAGTCTCAAAGCCAATGACCTGATGGCTTTACTGCTAAATTATGCCCGACATATAAAGAAGAACTATCATCGATCCTTCACAAACTCTTACAAAGTATCGAAAGGGAGGGGATTCTTCCAAACTCTTTTTATGAAGCTGGTATTACCCTGACACCGAAATAAGGCAAAGGACATCACAAGGTGGAAAACTATAGTTTCCTCAAAAAGCTAAAAATAGAATTACTGTGTGGTTCAACCATCCTGCTGCTTCTTATTTACTCAAAACGTTTTGAATTTGAAATGGTGAAGAGAGGGGTGCACTGCCATTCCATGTAAGCGTTTTTCACACTATGGAGTCATCCTAAGTACCCATCAGCAGATAAATGAATAGAGAAAATGTATGCATATACCATGGCATACTAGTTAGCCTTGAAAAAGAAACTGTTTTTCACCGGAAACATTATGGGTAAAGTTGAAGAACATGCTGAGGGAAACAAGGCAGGCATGAAAGACAAATACTAGGGCTGGGGATTTAGTCAAATCCACATGTTCTCATTAATTGTGGAATCTAGGGCAGGTCTGCTCAAAGAAGCTCAGAGTAAAATGGTGGATACCAAAGGCTGAAAGAGATGATGCTAAAGGACACAAAGCCTGAATCAGACAGGAAGAATAAAGCTTTTTCCTCTGGTATTTATTGCACACTATGATGAATATAATAAAATATAATGTACATTTTAAATTGCTAGGAGAGTAAATTCCAAACATTCTCACCACAAAAAAATGACGGTTCAAAGTGATGGATATGTTAATTATTTGTATTTAATTTTTCCACATTGTATTCATAAGTTACAGCATTGCTTTGCATCCTGCAAATGTATGCAACTATAATTTGTCAATTTATTATTAAAAATACAAATTTAAAAAGAAAAGATATCAGCACTGATGTCATTCTTCAAAGCCTTTCTAATATGCACACACACACCTGAATGCATATGTATATCGTGATAACAGGTAATTAATGAAGGAAGTAGTGAGTTAGATCCCCAACAAGAGGAGCACAAGAGACTCCACCCCATGCACAGTTTCCAGTGCAGGAAATTAATCTGTGAACTTAAGCTGTGACTCACACCTGGCGGCTCTCAGTAGAGGGTACGCCCGCTTGTGGGCGACTTCTGGTATCTGCTGTGTATCTTAGACCTTGTATTTCAACATACATGTGATATTATTTACTACTTATTATATATTAAACAGAATAACAAATTGTTAATCCTCTCTTTGTTTTCAAGAATGTTCTACTTAATCTTACCGTGAATTTTAATTAATAAGCATTTGATGCTACATCGATCCAGTTTTAGAAGGGATTCTGTGGACAAGCAATTCTTGAATTGTTTGTTCCAAGTCAGAGGTATAAAACTGAAGAAGGGTGATGACTTGTACATCCAGGAGAGTCACAAAGACTTGTTTCAGCACATGTCACAGTGCCAGCCGAGCCTGACCACACACAGGGTCACCTGGGCAGCCTCTAGGATCTGGGTCAATCTGATAAACGTCAGCCTCTTCTGTAGGGGATCTGGAAGAGTGTCCACGGCCCTGGTTTATAATTCACAGATATATTCTTTCTTGTTATGATAATAAAGAAAATTACTCAAAGTGAAATTAAAGCCTTTACTGATGTGAGAGGCAGAGAGAGCTAATGAAAATACTGCTCTCTAATAAAAAGTGAATATTTATTATCACAGCATGTTTAGTGGTTATTATTAAAAGGTACAGCCTACAGTGTAGACCCTACATCAATTCTGTTTAAATAATGCCAGATGATTGGAATGTGCCCATCTCGGCAACTAAGAGACTATTGTAGGATATCGACTTGCTGATTTTGTAGACCAGTATAGTACCTTTGAAAAGAGCTTTGGCCACACAAATTACAGGCTCTAAAAATGTTTATCATTGTGCTAATAGTTTTCACTGCGGAGAAGCTTCCCTAAGGAAATAATATTATTATTTGAATCCAGTGATGTCAAGTTTTGGTGCAACAGTTCACTATGTGTGAAATAAAATATATAACTGTGGAGAGCTATTTTAATAGATGATCGTGTATGCACATGATAATGTATTATGCAGGTATTACAATTGCATTTATGACAAATATTTAGTGGCCAGAGAGAAAATGTTGCACAATCTACCACTGAGTGAGAACTTGTTTAAGAGATGCTCAAGCCTGCCTAATTTTCTAGACAGGATAGACATCTAAACAAGAAGTTAGATTTTGTTTATTTATGAAGGGTAGGAGGCAAAGCCAGAGAGAAAATGCAAAGAGGTTAAGTACAATGCACTGGAAATAAGGAAGACAGGAACTAAAGCATCGGTGGAGTCCCAGAGGCCTCTGCTGGCCTCCTCCCACACACATCAAGGGTCTCAGCCAGGAGTCTCAACCTTGGCTGCAACTTGAATGCTTCTTAAAGTTCTAAGGCCTGGGCTCTCTCAATCCCATTAAATCAGAACAGTTGGGACTGATGACCCAGACATCTTTTTAAACATTATTTATTCATTTTACGCTCTCTCGAGTATACCAATGTGCAGCCCGGTCTGAGAGCCGTGGGAGATGGTTAGACACGGCAGGTTCACCCTCTGCATAGTACAAGGAGGGAGGGTGATGAGGTCACAGGACACCACGTTTCTTTTTCCCTCCACTCTCCTCTCCTCTAATTAGAGCTTCAAAGCAGTACCCTGAGCTCTTAGGTAAGGAGTTGCTTAAAACTTTGGCTCCAGAGAAGACAGGAGTGTAGATTTCTGCACCCTCCCACTTTAGAGCCCTGTCATCTGCAGAAGGTCCCCTCCCTAAAGGCAGCTAGAGGCACCTTCTGGGTGGTCAGGTAAGATTCAACGTTCTGTCTGCTGAGGGGTTACGCAGAATTGATACCCAGTCTACAAAGTTCCTATTACATCAGATTTACAAGAATCAATTGAAGTCTCCAGGCTGGTCCTAAGTGCTCTCACAAGCTTGGAGTTCAACACTAAACATGCCAGGATTTTAGATCCACTTTGTTCTTTGCTTTAGTAGAACTGGATCTTTGTTATGAAGAAAAATGGCTCTGGTAACAGTACAAAGAATTGCTCCAGCAGGAAAATGAATGAATTAATGAAACTGAAATGGCTTTAGAGATTCACTAGACCTCTACCTTATGCCTTGCACCTTGGCACGCTTAGGTAAGTAGAGTACTATGGTAACGCACTCACATCATGCTAAGCACACACAGTGATGGCAGAAACGGAAATGTGAGCCCTTGGAGGGAGGTCTGCAGCCTCATCTCACCCATCGACTTCTCACTGCTGCCCTGAGGTCACACAAACATTCGGTCCCATGCTCACCTTAAGCAGTCAGTGACTATTTGTTGTTTTGTTGTGTTTCTTTGCTTTTTTTTTTTTTTTTGGTAACAGGGATCAAACTCAGGTCCTTGTGCTTGCAAGGCAGGCGGCGGAACCACTGAGCTAAATCCCCGGCCCAGTCAGTGACTATTTGAATCACTGTCACTAAACTCTCTGTTCCTGGGTACTTTTCACTCTGGTTTCTGTACAAAGATGGACCCGTAACACTAACTAGTGTTGCTGAGATTTTAGCCAAGAGCCAACCTCTCTGTTCTTTCCTTGAAGGAGCTAGGGCACAAGCTTGGACCTGTGTGTGAATTACCGGCCCATGCTGCCCTGAGAAATGGCAATTCTGAAGAAACCAACCTGAACAAATTCATAGATTCACCAGGGACAGGACCTGTCGCTCCATGTGACACCACCCCATCAGAGTGCCAGCTGTTGAGTTACGTTTTTGGCTTCACAGAAGCTGGTCATAAACAACCGTGAAGCAAGAATAAGACAAGAGGGGAAGAAGGAGACAGAAATCCAGGGTGCCGATCCCCTCAAAGGGGAGCCTTCTTCTACCATGTGAGAACCGCTCCTTTTGAAGAGAGATCCAGAGTGACAAATAATGAACCAATCCCCTTAACTAGGTAGCATGCAAGTTTGTAATTGCTACTTTTGTGTCAAGAAATGCCAAAGAGAGGAAATTTAAATCTGCATTTTCTTGTTGCTCTTTGCTGAATAAATAGAATTCATTATAGACGTGTTTTACAGACACAATATTGTCTCCCCACTGGTTCCAGAGCATTAATTCATACGTAGAAGAGCTCACCAAATATAAGCTGATGGAAGGCAAATGAGGACTATGTAACTTCACCCTGAGTCTAGACTATGTTCTCAAGCATCTACACCTCAAGGCAGCGTATGGAATATTCTGTAGTTGCTATAAACAAAATCTGCTGGCTGATTTGAGGAGGAAGACTCCTTTTTTCTAGGAAGGTGTTTTTAGAGGAAATGATATCTGGGCGCACCTGGAAGGATAAGGAGAGGCACAACAGGAAGATGTGCAAATCAGCAAGAATAGAGAAGCACAGAATATTTTGAGACATGAGAAAGGATGAAAGGAAATTACTACCTCGTTAGAGGGAATCCGCTTAAAAGTAGGAATCCAAATTTCATGTAAGCTGTGTAAGGAGATTTGATTAGAAATTTACGTAAAAATAAAATAAAACTTACAAAACTAAGTTTAGACCATGTTTTCCAACTTGTCAGTTATAATTATAGCCATATGCCAAGTTTTAAACAATGAATCAAAGAGTGTGTATGAAAAACACTTTTGATACAATTGTATGAGAGGACAATTGTCCCCTTGTACTTGACCTTCAGATCAACTCTGAGGAGGTCACACTTGGAAAAGTCTTTTGAGACCTCCACTAGTTTCTTCTGTATCACTTTTTATCACCTCCTGAGTGTTGCATCTTTGCATTTTGGCATTTCCACTTACAATAAGCTCACTTTGTATCAGTGTGTGCCATGTATCAAGGGAAGCTGAACTATCTAACAATCATGGAGAAACCCAGTAGAGGTATTAGAGGAAGTCTGAAGCTTTTAAATGTTGTCTTCACTGGGAAATCTTTTTTATTAGTTCATGTTAGCAGAACATGCAGTTTACAGTCACCTTGGGGAGTAGGTGCATGTACATAATACACCTTGGGTCTTTTAAATCCCCATCCCTCCCTCCCTCCTCTTCTAGCTCCCCTTTCCCATTTTCATTTGTATTGATATTCTCAATCTCAGCTCGTGTTTATGGCATATAATGTCCACATTCATTGAGATTAGTAGGTTCCTGCTCATGCATACCTTTATTCTATTTATTTCTCCTTCCACTCTTTCTCATTCCTCACCCTTAGTCTCTTGGATCCCTTCCCATTTGCAAGAGATGCATCCCTCTGCCTCTTTCTATCCATCCTTTATTAATCTCTTTGTTTGTATTTTGCCTTACTCAAATGAGGGATATTATATGGTATTTAAGCTTACGTGTTTGGTTATTTCACTCAACATTATATTTTCCAAGTGTCTCCATTTTCCTACAAATGTCTCAGATTGTTTTTCTTTATAGCCAAGTAGAATTCCATTATGTATAGATACCACATTTTCTTTTTTCATATAGGCACAGCTTTGATATCCTTTTGCAACATAATTACCATCATTATTATTATACAGAAGACTTATTGGACAGGCTTCATCACTGTCAGAGAAGATTCTGATAATAAAGTTCCCTTGTGCTTGCCTTTGGCTGAGATACAAGCTATATGTTCAGAAGATTCGACAAATAAAGATTGCAAGTTTGACTGGAGCCTTGAACTCCAAGATAAAAAGATGTGGGGCTTTCTCCATACTTAGTGGACAGGCATGGAAGCTGAATGAGCACGCATGTGAAGCTCCCGTGCAGGAGTTTTGTCTGGCTGAGCCAGGGAGGAGTGCGGTGGGGAGTGCAGGTGTGGGTGCCGTCAGGAGGCGGATGGAATCCATCAGCTCTAGGGCTTCTGGATAGAGTGTTTGTCTACTTCGTGGAAAAGCCCGGTTTCCTCATTTATCAACACCCTCTGTCCCGCTAAGACTCCCACTGCAGTTGATGGTGTTGTGCACCTTCATTTATCTTGGTAGGCGGAGAGACATTATTCAAAGCCATTTGCATGTTTCAAGCAGCCCATGCAGAAACTAGTAGGACTGGTGATGTGGAACATATCTTTATTCAGTTCTGGGATCATGCCTGAGGGAGAAAGGGTCAAGAAAGAAGGAAAATAGATCCTCTCCTCCTTTTCCCACCTCTATGAAAACTTGAAATTAATTTTTCACCATGTGCTGTGTACTTTAGAACTTAAAATAAATGAGAAAGCTGGAGCTTTGTTTAGTCTAAAGGCTCAGTGAAGTCCCTAAGATAAAGAAGATCTAAGATTATTTTTAAAGCCATCTTTCTAAGGCAATTTATGTAACACAACTCCACGTGGTTATTTTAGGGCCTCACATGAAGTGAAATAA